CTGCATAGTTCATAGAACCATAAACAAAATTCATCTGAGGGATAGACAAAAAAACACAATAATTAAATTTAAGTTAATATATAAGCCGTAACATTTATAGGACTTAGGCAAAAAATGAAAAACTATGTTTTTCTGAGATGTAAATACACATTTAATAAAGTGAAGGATTGACATGAGGGGCAGCAATGAGACCATCTTATTACATATTTACCTAATAAATTGTCTAAAACATTTCAATAAAACACATTTTAATGATAATTTGAGTCCTAATAATAAGATTATTGTAACAAAGCTATTTGTAATTTCATTGGGTATCTTATTAATGTGTTTGAGGATTTTAAATATTTTTCTATATTTAATTGTTTCACACATTTTTGTGTTACTTTTTTTTAAAATAATTTAATAAAAGAAAACAAACCTAACACTTATTGTTTAAATCCCTGATTTATAAATGATTTTTCATGTATAAACTTTATTTTTAAACTATTTTTATATGTATTTTATTCATTGCACATTGTTTGATATATTATACCATGGCCAAACGAATATCCCTTTGGATAATAAAGTATTTTTGAATTGAATTTGAATTTAAATGAATTAGCAAAATTTGAAGTACTTTAAAACAAAGTACTGTATGAATACTGGACATTGAGGATGAAATTGGCGTGATCAGTATTTAATTTGCAGGATTACACTGAGAAGTAATCTAACTCATATTTGTGTAGAAAATTGCTGGTAGAGAGGTAGGCCTAGGTGCGCAAAACCATCATATTAAGACCAAGGTTACTGCATAATAATATATATACTATCTATGTTGAAATATTGGAGAAAAAAACCTTAACAAATACTAATAAATTAAATTAGGCCAAATAAAAAAATGCTTGTTTAGCATCACCTCTTAAAATTAAATACTTATGTTGGGAGGTAATTTTTTTTTAAATTAATATATACTATCTATAATCCTTGTTAGATCAGATGCTACCTTAGCAGTGCCATGCCTAGGCACAACTTACATACCCACTCAGTAGTGGATCCAGAAATGTGAAAGAGGGGGCCCATGGAGGGACCAATCCATAGGTTGTGGGTCAGTACACATCAGCCCCACCACGGTTTTGGCTGAGGCGAGAAAATTTATGATGATTGCACCTGTAGATGATTGGCACTCTCAGCACTCTCAACATATATTTAAATATATTATTATTATTATTATTATTATTATTATTATTATTATTATAATAATTATTATTATTATTTAGTTTTATTAGTAGTTTTATTATTACTAATATAATTGTTATTATTATCAATATTGTATCCTTGTATAATTTTCCTTTTTTCCTATTTTTTTGTTATTTAAAAAACTTTAGGTGGAGACAAGGCCAGCTGGGCTCGTCCTTAAATCCACCACTGTTCTAAACAAATTTTAAAAAATTTAGTTTTAATAAAAAAAAAAACAAAAAAAAAAAACACATGTTTTACAACCATAATTAATGCATGGATTGGATTGGATTGGATTGGATTAGGTGTAAATACCAAGGATAGCCCACGAAAGTCTAGAAGAAGACTTATTTCCAGTGGGGTCCTTCTGGCGGTGATTGGACAGTACACCGGGAGACAATCCCCTACTCTTTTCCGAAGAGTGTACTGTGTTCTTTAACGTGCACATGGGCCATAAATGCACACTGGACCAATGGCTTAAACGTCTCATCCGAAAGACGGTGCGCTATGTAACTTGTATTTCAGCCCTCTAGCTGAAACACAAGGAAAAGCAGTGAGTGGGAATTGAACCGGGGACCTAGAGATCTCTACATTTCAGCGCACACACAGTGGCTACCACCAGATTAGCCGACTGAGATAAGCTGCTCTCTCATAGAGTAATCTATAAACAAAATGAAAATGAATGAATGAAAATATAAATGAATAAATAAAAATGAATGATTTAAAATTAATGAATAAATAAAATCGAATGAATGAATGAATGAAAATGAATGAAAGAATGAATAAATGAATGATTAAATGAATGAATGAATGCATGAATAAATGAATGCATGAATAAATGAATGATTGAATGAGTGGGTGGGTGAATAAATGAATGAAATAATGAATGAGTGAAAAATGAGTGAATGTAAATGAGGGAGAGAACGAGTGAGTAAGTGGATAGACGAATGGAGGGAATATTTTTATTATTTATTATTATTATTATTTTTTATTTTTTTTATTTTTATTATTTTTATTATTTTTATTATTTGTATTATTTTTATTTTTATTATTATTATTATTATTATTATTATTATTATTATTATTATTATTAATAATAATACTTTTATTATATTATTATTATTATTATTATCACTATTATATCCTTTTATCCTTGTATAATTTTCTTTTTTTCTCCATTTTTTTTATTTTGAAAACTTCAGGTGCGGACCAGGCCAGCTGGGCCCTCTTAAAGCGACTGTTCCAAAAAAATACATTATTTTTAGTTTTAATCAAAAAACACATGTGTGTTTTATAACCTAATTAAAGCATAGAGTAATCTATGAATAAAATAAATGAAAATGAATGAATGAAAATGAATGAATGAATAAAATCGAATGAATAAATGAATGCATTAATAAATGAATAGATGAATGAATATGTAATTGATTTATTATTGTTAATATTTTTATTATTATCACTATTGTATCCTTTTATCCTTGTATAATTTTCATATTTTCCCCATTTTATTATTTTTAAAACTTTAGGTGGGACCAGGCCAGCTGGGCTCGCCCTTAAATCCGCCACTGTTCCAAAAAATAAATATTATTTTTAGTTTTAATCAAAAAACACATGTGTGTTTTATAACCATAATTAATGCATAGAGTAATCTATGAATAAAATAAATGAAGATGGATGAATGAAAATATGAATAAATGAATGAATAAAAATGAATGATTGAAAATAATCGAATAAATAAAATCGAATGAATAAATGAAAATAAATGAATGAATGAATGCATTAATAAATAAATAGATGAATGAATATGTGATTGATTTATTACTGCTAATATTATTATTATGATTATTATTATTATTATTATTATTATTATTATTATCACTAAGTATCCTTTTATCCTTGTATAATTTTCCTTTTTTCTCCCTTTTTTTTAATTTTTAAAACTTTAGGTGGGACCAGGCCAGCTGGGCTCGCCCTTTAATCAGCCACTGTTCCAAAAAAATAAATATTATTTTTAGTTTTAATCAAAAAACACATGTGTGTTTTATAACCATAATTAATGCATAGAGTAATCTATGAATACAATAAATGAAGATGAATGAATGAAAATATAAATGAATGAATGAATAAAAATGAATGATTGAAAATAAATGAAGAAATAAAATCGAATGAATAAATGAAAATGAATGAATGAATGAATGCATTAATAAATGAATAGATGAATGAATATGTGATTGATTTATTATTGCTAATATTATTATTATTATTATTATTATCACTATTGTATTCGTTTATCCTTGTATAATTTTCCCTTTTTCCTATTTTTTTTTATTTTGAAATCTTTAGGTGGGGAACAGGTCAGCTGGGCTCGCCTTTAAATCCACCACTGTTCCATACAATTATTATTTTTAGTTTTAATTTAAAAAAAAAAACACATGTGTGTTTTATAACCATAATTAATGCATAGAGTAATCTATGAATAAAATAAATGAAAATGAATAAATGAAAATATAAATAAATACATGAATGAATAAAAATGAATGATCGAAAATGAATGAATAAATAAAATCGAATGAATAAATGAAAATGAATGAATGAATGAATGCATTAATAAATGAATTGATGAATGAATATGTGATTGAGTGAGTGGGTGAATAAATGAATGAATGAAATAATGAATGAATGAGTGAAAAAATTAGTGAGAGTAAATGAGTAAGAGAATGAGTGAGTAAATGGATGTACGAATGGATGGAATATAACTATTATTACTAGTATTATTATTATTACTATTATTACTATTATCACTATTATTATTATTATTATTATTATTATTATTATTATTATTATTATTATTATTATTATTATTATTACTATTGTATTTTTTTATCCTTTCATAATTTTCCTTTTTTCTCCATTTTTTTATTTTGAAAACTTTAGGTGGGGGCCCCCTTAAATCTGCCACTGTTCCGAAAAATTATTATTGTTAGTTCCAATCAGAAAATACACATGTGTTTTATAACCATAATTAATAAAATAAATAAATTAAAACAAATGAATAAATGAATGAATGAACGAATGATTTAACGAATGAATGAATGAATGAATTAATTAATTAATGAGTGAGTGAATAAATGAATGAATGCATGAATAAATTTATTGATGAATGACAAAGTGATTGAGTGAGTGGGTGAATGAATGAATGAATGAATGAAATAATGAATGAATGAATTAATGAATGAGTGAGTAAGCTGTAAGGTGTCATTACACCTTACAGCTAAATTTCTAACATAACAATGGTAAGATTTTCTTATACATGATTTCAAATTTTTTCGACATGTTTTATATTGTGACCATTTACGTGGGTCTAATGACGATTTTGCCCGTTTAAACAAACAATTTTTCTTCTTGGAAAACCTTATTATTTAATCAGTTATCCAGGGCTGTTTAGGTTTTCTTTTAGCTTTACGCATAGGAACAACATTATGAATAGCATGTAGAAACTTTGACTTAAACTCCTCCCACACCCCCATTTAAATCATTCGAACAAAAACATGGTTCACAATTGATGTCAGAAAATGTCTTAATAAAATGATCCACATCTATCTTAAAGTATTGTAAAAAGTAACCCCCAACATTTATGTGATTTACAAATGCAATATTAAGCCTAATGAATATACCGTCATGGTCACTGCCTGTTATACCCGTAATACCGAGGTAATATAGAATCAACGATATCTGTTTGATTTATATATACATGATCAATGAGGGTGCCATTATTACTTCTGTCACTTTGCCTTCTAGTTATAAAAGGAACAATTTGGGTAAAATTTAAAATATCTAAAATGGAAGCAAGTTTATTGTATAAGCTACATGATCTAAATTTATCAATATTAAAATCACCAGCAAGAATAACGCTATGATAAAGGTGAACATCAGCAAGTACGGAATCAATGCATGTATCAAAAAATGAAATGTTACCGTTAGGAGGACTATATAAACAACCAGTTAATAAGAGTTTGCCCTTTTTTGTATAAATTATTGACCATGTTAATTCAATTCCATCAACATCATACTGATGGGCCGAAACAGGATGAAGATCTTTGTGGGCAACAATAATAACTCCTCCTCCACGCCGATTCCTGTCTCTATGGAAGATAGCATACTGCTGCATGGGTAACAGTTTTGAGTCTGATATAGATGCATCAAGCCAGGTTTCAGTTATGAAGACTAAACTAGGAGCTTCTGTAGAAATTGTTACTTGAAGTTCGCTAAACTTATTTGCAAGACTACGTGCGTTGAAATATAACATGCTAGGCTTGGACATTGTGGAAGCTGTATTTCGGTTGTTTGAATGCGTATTCGTTGAGGGACCGGGACCAGGGTTAGGATGAATATCCCCAGATAGTTCGATGTAAACGTCGAAAGGGGCGGTATGATTGCTATAATACAACAGTGGAGCGGAATACTTGAAACGATGAATATTCATAATCTTACGGTGCTTAGTATAAGTGATGACATTTTCCTTGCAGCAGTAATTTGGACTATAATTTCTTTGCATTTAATTAAATACGGTATATTTGGCATGTACAAAAACACATACATATTAAATTAAATGTCATGGATCAAGTTAAACAATGAGTCGCATACAACGTTCATGCCATTTCAACAATAATTGAATTCGGAAATCTCTGACAGTCTGTGAACGTGATTGCAGTACAAATAGTTGCTCTCACTCCCCTGCCATGTACGGCTGGGTTGGTACAGCCTATCAAACTCTATGTAGCCTGCCGGGGTCGGGCTTCTATGCGTTTCCTGGTCCTGTTTTGACCGGGTACCATTCGCACGTCTGACACGCCCTATCTCTTCTCACTGATTCCATAGGCTCTTGCCCCTTCCGCCACCTAAGTATAAACAATTCATTTAGGTTTCTAATATCACCATTAACATGTTTAATGTTTAATACGGCGGATTCAAATTACAATAAACGCAAAAATAGAATTAACTTACTAGTGGCAATCATATATCTCAGCCTGTCTATTTCTGTAAGACCACCCGGCTACAGGCAATGGTTACCTTCTTTTCATTAACCAAAAGAAAACCTAACGCTAATTTCAATGAACCTTACATACGACAATCCCTTTTCTCATATACATATGCTAATTAAGTTTAGTGCATACGTGGCAATTCGTGTAAGCAGCATATACGTCATTACGTTTACATATATGGCTCATACCTTCACCTGCATCTATACGCTTCGGTGCATGTGTCTGTAACTTTACTTCATGCTTAACAGTACAGTAATATAAAGGAAATACATTTTCAACTGTGACACTTACTCCCCTTTTCGAAAAATGTATTTCGATGACTTTCTATCACTTAATCGGATTTATTTATTTATAAAACATTTCATTATAACAGGCATTATAGGTTACGTTTACTATTCTTGCACATATTACAATCATATAAATCCAACTTTAACAAGGTGGCTGAAAACCCAAAACACAAGAAAATGCAGACATAATATTCAACAACGAATAAAACGTAAATTTGATTTCTACTACAAAAATTAATTTCTTTCTGCTTTGAAATAATGGGATGACCGTATTTTGTTCACCATTAGGCTAATATAAGTATTTCATTGTGTTTTAAGGTAGGTAGTAGAACCATCCCCATCTATAGACGGCTTAACCTGTCTGCACCTAAATTATCACTGCCTTTTATTGATTCAATTCGAAATCGGTAGGGCTGTAACGACAGAGCCCATCGCATTACACGACCGTTCGCGACTTTCGCTCGTTTCAAATAGGTGAGGGGCTGGTGATCAGTTTGGAGAACGAATTCTTTACCGTAAAGGAAAGTTTCGAATTTTTTAACTGCCCAAACAATTGCCAAGCACTCTTTTTCTATAACAGAGTACGCCCTTTCTCTTTTTAGTAACTTGGAACTCGCGTACGCCACTGCAAAATTTACATCATTTTGCTCCTGCAAGAGCACAGCACCTATACCAATATCCGAAGCATCAGTTCGCAATACAAACGGGTTACTCACATCTGGAAGATGTAAAATTGGACTACTGGCAAGTTTTGCCTTCAGGGTTGTAATTGCGTTATCTTGACTTTCCTCCCAATTTATGTGATTAGGCTCATTATTTTTCGTTTTATCTGTTAGTGGTGCCGCTATAGCAGCGTAGTTAGGTATGAACTTTCTATAAAAGTTCGTCATGCCTAAGAATGATCTGAATTGTTTCTTGGTCTGGGGCCTATTTATCATCTGAATAGCGGATACCCCCTTTGAGCGGGGACACACCTTCCCTTTTCCTATTACATGACCAAGAAACTCAACGCTTTGTTGCCCAACAAAACAAAACATTTACTGGGTCTGGCTGTGAGATTTGCATCTCGTAACCGCTGTATTAAGGTTTTTAACCCATTAATGTGTTGCTCCCAAGTTTCTGAATAATTATATTAAAATGTCATCAATGTAATTCACCACTCCTTCCAACCCTCGTACAAGCAATCTCATGATTCGACTAAACGAAGCGAGGGCGTTTACAAGACCGAACGGCATCACTTTGAACTGGAAAAGGCCATCAGGAGTAATAAAAGCAGTTATTTCTTTGGATTTATCTACCATTGGCACTTGCCAGTAACCTTTACTAAGATCGATCTTGGTGAAAAAATTACCCTTGCTTACTTGCGCAAATAGTTCCTACTGATCTGGTATGGGTTCAGCATCAAATACGGTTACGCTGTTAAGCAAACGGAATCTACACAAAATCGGTTTGACCCGTCTGGCTTCTTTGCAAGCACTATAGGGGAAGCAAATGGATTATTGGAGGGTTCAATTAAGTCTAATTTTAACATGGTACTCACGTCATTTCTAACAGTATCTCTGAGAGCATGCGGGATCGGATAAGGTTTACCCTTCGGCAGTTCTGGTACCTTCAGTCTTATATCATGAAAACCTAAATGAGTACGACCTGGTAAGTCAGTAAGAACATCTTTTTACTCACTTAATATTTCTTGCACCTGCGTCTGTTGCTCTCTTGTTAGATCACCGTTCACGGATACATCTGCTACAGACTCTTTTGCACATAGGGGAAATGGTTGCAACAAGGATGAGTTTGACATCTTTGAACACGTATCGAAAACTCCTCCTCTCCTGGCTCAATGACTGCTGCGCCAACTGTAATTGGAAATAGGTCTAAAAGTAACGCACTTATCTCATTCCTTTCATAATATTTTTGAGTAAGTTCACATGAAACACTTTCGACTTTCCATTTAGGTCAATCCGGTAGTCTGCGTCACCCAACTTCGAAAGAACGGGAAACGGACCTTTCCACTGTAATAAGAGTTTATTGTAATCAGTAGGTAATAATAACAGAACTTTATCACCTACCTCAAAACCTCTGCTCCTCGCTTTCTTGTCGTAGTATTTCTTATACCGGGCTGACGACTTCGTAAATTCTGCATGTGCACTTTCACACGTCTCTTCCAATCTGTTCCTTAAGTCAAGCACATACTCATAAGTAGTCTTAGTTTCAGGAGTTTCATTTTCCCCCGTCATCAACTCACTTAGAATTGCAATCGGCCCCCTTACCTTTCTACCATACAATAATTCGAAAGGGGAAACGCCTAAGTTTTCTTGGGGTGTCTCTATAATGGCAAAGAGAAGCGGTTCTAAGTAACGATCCCAATCTGTGGGACGTTCGGAGCACATTCTTTTTAGCATTAGTTTTTAATGTGCTATTAAAACGTTCTACCAGTCCATTCGCGGCTGGGTGGTAAGGTGAGGTAGTAAATTGCTTGATAGAAAGAAGCTTGCTTACCTGTTTCATCACTTCGGAGGTGATCTGTGTTCCTTGATCGGTTAACATTTGTTTTGGCCTCGGCTACCCTTTTGACCTCGATACCTGGCAAAAGAACAGCTTCAGGATACCTGGTTGCATAATCGATTATGGTTAGTATGTACCTTTTTTCCTACTAGTCATTGGATAAATCGGTCCCACAATATCTACAGCAATACGTTCGAACGGTATTTCAATTAAGGGCATTTTCCCCAAAGGTACCTTAGTAATCTTACCTTTTTGGATCGTTCTTTGACATACATCACAGGATCTGCAGTAACGAGTTATATCCACCCTAATACCCGGCCAAAAGAACTGTGTAAGTACTTTCTCAGAAGTTTTATTAGCTCCCTGGTGTCCGCCTAGCAAAGTTTCGTGTGCAACACTCATCACCTGACGACGGTACGGCTGTGGTAGAACGACCTGCTTAAAAACATTCCCACATTCCACATTTGGAGATTGAAAATTTCGATAAAGTATACCGGCCTTATAGAAAAAAGTAGATATTCCACCTTTTCGACTTACTTTTTCTGTGTTCAGTTCAGTTAATTCTTTTATCCGCTTTAATGTTTCATCTTCCTGCTGAGCTTTCTTCAACCCATCAGCGTTTACAATGTTTTCTAGAACTTTTGGAGATTTCAAAGGCTTAAAAGGCTTACCTTCTTCCTGTACCTGTGCCCTCGTCTGAACCGCTCAAGTTGTGGCAACGGGCACACGCCATGACCTATCCGGATCATTTGTTGGTCTCACTCCCTCAATGTTACCTAGGATTAAATCATATAATGGACTCTGCATACATAATGCTTCGACAAACCCATCGAAATATGGAGTGTTAACATAAACCCTAGCAAGTGGAACCTTTCTTTACCTGTTAATTGCTCCTCAGAAATCAGATCCCGTCTAATGACAACTCCACTGCAACCACTATCTCTGAGAACGGACACTTCTGTTGTTCCAACCAAACCTCTAGTAACCGGCATTTTGGTTGCACAATTTTCACTACAGGCTGCACTCATTCTGGGCAAAGAATGGCCACATTTAAGAGTAACATGGTCCCCAAAATCGTCAATATCGCACACATTAGGAACATGAGAAGGCACTTTAACTACCATACATGAGGCTTCTAGCATTACATTCGTGTGTCCACACTGACAGCTGTCATTCGAATCCAGGTCTTCATGTTGTGTTACAAGGCCTGCTACCCGAGGTGTACCTGACCTGCAATTCTTTGCCATGTGTCCGATTTTATGGCAAAGGTAACATGTAGGACTCATGACCCTCCTATTTTTGGGACAGTACTTAGCTACATGGCCGACTTGGTTACAAGTATAACACCCCCTGACATGTTGGTTTATTTGACTTCGATCGGGTATCCCTTCCCTTTGGGGTAGGCTAGGGTTAAGGGGTTGTGGTCTTGTAGGATAATTTCTGAACCCAAGTGCCCCCGCGTGCCTCTAAATATTGTTCTGTGACAGCAGTGGCTTCTTTTAATGTAGTTAAATTGCGTTCCTTTAGGAATAAGGCTAACTCTTTTGGACAGCCACACTGATATATTGCACTCGTAATATTAAGTCTTTTAAGGCTACGAATGTGTTGGCAATGTCTTCAAGTCCTATCCAACGTGTTAAATAATGATCTAATCGGTTGGCATATTAGTGGCCTCTCTCCCCTGGTTCAGGTCTACCCGTTACAAATTTCTTCTGAGGAGGGCGCTTCAACAATCCTTTACGAAGGTCGTACTGAAAATTGCTCCCCAAAAATTTGGATATAAAGTCGTTTTTTAAATCGAATCTTGTTCACTTGCAACTGCGAAAGGCTTAGTTCACTGTATGGTTGCATTGGCAGGAAACATACATTAAATATATTTCATTGCTGAAAGCGAAACCGATTCGAAATGATATCGCAAGGCCAGGCTTACGCCACAGTTTTAGGTGAAAGCTACATGGACAGTAGCAATGGCTTAGCGGGCCGCTTAAATCCGGTTCCTGAGGAATGCGAAGCTATTGTTAATAACATGGTGAAGCCGGTGTTTATAAAAAACGATGAAGCAAGAGGAAATAGCGAGGCGTATTTAACTGAAGAAGATGTATACAACTCATTGTGTTGTATAGTAGATTCAATGGCTATCTTCGGAATTCTACGTATTAGAAATTTATGGAGATTGTATATACATACGCATGAAGACAGAGGTAAGGTAATTAGCTCAGGTTTAAACATCAGAGGGAAAAACGTTGTAGTGCACGACAAGAACCCATACATTGATTATGGTTCTGACTCTGTTAGGGTGTTAATTAAACACATCCCTTTATCAGTATCAGATAACGAAATAGCACAAGTACTTTCCAAACTTGGTGTTAAAAGCAAGAGTGCCATTACGAGAATAAAGCTTCGAATTAGAGGAAGGTTGACTAGTATCTTGAATGGCGATCGAGCAGTCTTAATAGAAAAACCGAAAACGCCAATACCACGTCTTATAATTGTCAATGGTTTTAAAACTAGACTTTTTCATCAAGGTCAATTTAACGACACATCTAAGTGTAGAAACTGTCTAAAAGACGGTCAACAATGCTAAAGATTGCAAAAAAGCACTGCACTGCCACACATGTGGGAAAGCTGGACATAAGAAGAGTGAATGTGAAATTGACGGTAGTATTGCTAACACAACAGATATGAATACGAGTAGCCATAAAGAATCAGTCTCAGATGAGCAAAGTGACTCTGAGGTTGATGAGGACACAATAGATGATGATGATGATGTGAACATACAAGAAGAGGTCGACGATAGTGATGGCACGAAAATAGTATCTACCAAATTTCACTCCAAGTCAGAAGAAGAAAAGAAACTGACAATGGATCAGCAAATGAAAATAACTTGTTTTGTATCAAAAGATCCTGAAAGCAATATAGAAAATGAAATCACTGCTGCAATTGGGAACGTCAGGGCTGGTCTGGAAAGCAATAAAGTCACCAAGCCTAACGGCAATAATGCTGCTATTGCTAGTGCTAGAACTGATCTGGAAAGTAACACAGTCAACAAGACAACTAGCAACAAGGTTACTGCTGGTAAAAAAAGACATAAGAGCAAAGGCAAAACTCCATCTCCTGGTTCAAAGAAACCCAGCAAGAAGTCTAAGAAGTAGCGTGAATGTATCCTTCTTTTTGCTGTTTTAAATGTATTTGGATGTTGTCTTTTTTTGTTGTAAAGTTAACGTATTGTAATCAATTTATAAATATAATTACAATCCCATGAATCAGTCTTTATCATATATCTCCCTTAATGATTAAACAAAGGAAAATCTTTCAATGGGCCAAAAAATCAAACTTCAAACATAATCTTCCTCCAAGAAACTTACATTACTCCTGATAAATGTACAGTAATAGATTCTCATTCCTCTGGCAGGGCGAATGTTATCATAGTTTTGGGACTTCTCATGGTAGAGGGGTCACTATACTTTTTGATCCAAACCTTACTATTAAATGTAACAAGAAGATTATTGATGATAATGGGCGTTTTATTATTCTTGATATTGATGTCGAGGGGAAAATACTGTTCTTATAAACCTGTATGCATCCAATGATAGCAAACAGCGTAGTACTTTTTTTTAGATTTATTCAAAAACAAATAAATGACATCCAGATCCACTCAAAAAGTAATATAATTATCGGTGGGGATTTTAACTGCATTCTTGATAGCTCCACTGATCAAATAGGTGGTACTTGCACGAGCAGATCAGACAACTCTAGATATACACTAACAAATTTAATGAAGAGACTTAATCTAATTGATATATGGAGAAAAAAGCATCCAGAAAAAAAAACAACATTTTACTTGCCGTAGAAATACATCAAACTTATTTAAAAGACTTGACCTTTGGTTAATCTCCGAAAAAAATGCTGGTGGTATTGATAATGTGGACATAAGACCTGCTATTCATACCGACCGTCAGGCCATTTATTTGAAGATAGTTAACAGATCTTGTAAGCGTGGTCCAGGTCTCTGGAAGTTAAATAACACCCACCTCAATGACGATAAATATAGGAAAAAAATTGAAAGTATTATTCGTAAGTCAGAACTTGAGTACAGGCATCTTAATCTGGCCTGTTTATGGGAGCTGATGAAAGTTAAAATTAAAGAATACAGTATTTGGTAAGGAAAAGTTAAACTAAAGAATAAAACTTGTCAAAAAGATAAACTGCAAAAAGAGATCAAACAAATTAATGAGAAACTAGTCTTTGATAATAACCATAAATCAGAGATTCTTTTGGATGTAAAGAAAAAACAATTGGAAAAAATATATGAAGAATAATGTAGAGGAGCTCAAATTAGATCGAGAGTAAAGTGGGTTGAAAAGGGAGAAAGAAATAACAAGTACTTTATTGGCCTGGAAAAATCAAAAAGTGAAAAGAAGTATATAAAAAGCCTAAAGAAAGAAATTCGGCCTAACACTTTTGATCCTACTGAAATTCTTAAGGAGGAAGTGAAATTTTTCTCTAAACTTTATTCAAATAGTAATACTCCAAATGATGACATTGAGCAATATTTAAAAACTACAAATATTAGGTGTCTCTCAGAGGTAGACAGTGCCATCTGTGATGGAATCCTGACTGTCACAAAATGTCAGAAAGCGGTCTTCGATATGAAACTTAATAAATCACCTGGAACTGATGGCCTCACGGTAGAATTTTACAGGTGTTTTTGGTATTTAATTGGAAATACTGTTTGCAATGCGTTGAATTATAGTTATAAGTCTAAGAAACTTGAAAGCTCACAGAGAAGAGCAATGCTCAACTTGTTATATAAAAAGGGTGACCCTGAATTGTCAGAAAACTGGAGGCCAATTTCACTGCTGAATACTGATTATAAAATTGCTGCCCCTGCATTATCTTGTAGACTACAAACTGTAATAAAATCAATCATTATTACTGACCAAAAAGGATACATAAAGAACAGATTTATAGGTTAGAACATAAGGCTTGTAGAAGATATCATGCACTATTGTAAAGAAGATCACAAAGAAGGTGTTCTTTTCACAAAGCCTTTGATTCTGTTGACAGAAACTTTATGGTAGCTGTTTTAAGACATGCTGGTTTTGGTGAATCATTTATTCATTGGGTAATTACCATATATAAAGACTCTGAATGTGTTATTAGTAATAATGGATGGATTTCCAGTAGTTTCAAAATGTATAGAGGCATAAGACAGGGTTGTCCTTTATCTGCCCTTTTATTTATAATAGTTGTTGAGATTGGCTACAAACATTAGAAATGATGAAATTTTTCAAGGTATTAGTCTTCCAATAGATAACAATATACAAGCGAAAATATCACAACTTGCAGATGACACAATTATCTTTGCAAAAAACAAAGATAGCATAGAAAGAGCCTTACACCTTGTTGATATTTTTTGTAAACACTCCAATATGAAGCTTAATATTAATAAGACTAAGGCAATGTGGTTGGGATCTTTGAGAAATAATGTTGATAAACCTTTTAATTTAGATTGGGTAAAAGAATTGAATTCACTTGGAATTTACATTGGTTATAACAAAGCAAATTGTGCAGTACGCAATTGGGCGCCAAGGATGGTTAACTTAGAAAACGTGTTAAAGCAATGGAAAAAAGAAACCTTACAGTATTTGGAAAAGTAACAATCATAAAAACGTTAGGACTTTCAAAAATAATCTATAATGCAAGTGTGATTGAAACTCCTGATTATATTGTTAAACAGATTGGTAAACTATTAGCAGATTTTATTTGGAACGGTAAAAAAGCAAAGATCGAAAGAGTATCTTTGATTGGTGACTTTTCACAAGTAGGTATTAAACTACCAGAATTCATATCACAAGTAAAAGCCTTAAAATACGCATGGTACAAACGACTTCTTCATTCCGAAGAAGGTATTTGGAAAGTTATTCCGAGATGGTATCTTTCAAAGATTGGTCCTGATAACTTACTCTGTAGAATAACAAGTGTTGATATGTTAGATAAAAATACAAAGATAAAGATACCACAATTTTACAAAGACGTTTTACTCTCATGTCAGAATTTAATGTTATAAATCAAAGTAATCCCATTAACTATAAAGATATTATCAAACAAAATATTTGATGTAATTGTCTGATTAAGTGTAGAATGAAATCCATCTGGTATAAACAATGGATCGACTCTGGATTCATGAACATTAACGGCATTCTTATAGTTAATACATGGAAAAATTACCCGGAAATTATTAGTTGACTTAAGGGTAATGCCAATTGGATGATTGAATATTTGAACATCTTAAATGCTATTCCAAAACATTGGAAAAATTGTATTAATTCATATAAAGGAAATGCACTTGCCCTCGATACATTACAGCAAAATAACGTGTCAAAACAAAAAGTGTTTATAATCACTTTATATCAAATGTTTATGCTATTCCATCCTCTCAGAGCAGATGGGAAGATGATTTCAATGTTGATAACTAGCCAATTGCATGGAAGAACAAAATTCATTTAATTGATGAATTCAAAATTACTCAATTTAATCTAAAACTTTTACATAGAATTATCCCAACAAACCAGAGGCTATTTAAAAGGAAAAAAAAAGCAACTGATATTTGTACAGTTTCCAAAATTCCTGAAGACGATGAACATCTTTTTTTTCCTGTATTGAAGTTAATACTTTTTGGAATAAAATCAATACTATAATATCAAATTTTTGTAAAATTGAAGTCAACTTTAAACTTATTATCTTGGGATGTCAAAATAGGCTTCCTAATTGGTTGATATCTATGGGGGCATTTACCATTTACAAGAGAAAAATTCTTTTAGAAAATGACCAATGGGGTAGTAGATCTCTATTTGCTCTATTTATCGCCGAGATAAAATGGAGGATCAACTGCAATAATAAGATATTTCGATCTGTTGCATCCAGAGATCTAAAGTGTTTGTACGACTTGTTAGATACGCACAGATAACATTCATATACTGTATTTGGCTGTTGGAATTTTGGTGCCTTGATTTTCTGTATCACTGATGTAAAAAACCAATAAATTAACAATACAAATAAACAATATAATAGAAAATAAATTTTAAAAAATACTTAAAAAGGTGAAAATATTAACGTTGAAAAAAAATACACTTATTGATGATGTTCAGTCATTTTATTGAATATGATTTGAATCTTGTGTTGTTTTGATGGAATGTTTTTTTTGTGATAAATAAAAGAGGTGGTTTCACTACAAGAGATAAAAAATAAAAAAAAACAAATTTGTTCTTAAACACTTCAGAAGTAAAATTCAAAAGGTTTCACTAAATATTTCTTTAACTCATCATAGCTATCCGCCTGATTAGGGGATAAACGTTAATAAATATCTAATGCACTGCCTGTGAGTAACACGCTTAGATTAATTGCCCAATCTCCATGAGGCAAATTCTGGCTAGTTGCGTACCGTTCAAACCGGTTTAAATACGCGTCTATATCATCTTTATTTTCATAAAAGGCAGGTAATTTTGGTTTTTTAGCTTTATTCTTATATTCTACTTTATCGTAAAATGATGTTCCCAACTCAGTGGTTTCTTTTTTCTCTCTTTCTATACTCAAGTGAATTTGTGCAATTTCTATTTCACGTCTTCGTATCTCCATTTGTTCTGCCCTATCCTCCCTTGCTTTACATTGTTGTTCCCTTACAAACTCCTGTACTTCTTCCCCAGTTAAACCAAATTTCTCTCCCGCTTTTATCAATTCACCCAAATCCATGTTTCAAATTAATCACAATTTGAGTTTAATTAAACAGTGAAGTTACATAGTCCTAATATATTTAGGTGAAAATGATAATTCAATATATTCCAATGTGACTCTCAGCGACATGTAATGATCACTCCCGGACGAGCCCCCGAAATATGTCACATGGATCAAGTCAAACAATGAGTCGCATACAACGTTCATGCCATTTCAACAATAATTGAATTCGGAAATCTCTGACAGTCTGTGAACGTGATTGCAGTACAAATAGTTGCTCTCACTCCCCTGCCATGTACGGCTGGGTTGGTACAGCCTATCAAACTCTATCTAGCCTGCCGAGGTCGGGCTTCTATGCGTTTCCTGGTCCTGTTTTGACTGGGTACCATTCGCACGTCTGACACGCCCTATCTCTTCTCACTGATTCCATATGCTCTTGCCCCTTCCGCCACCTAAGTATAAACAATTCATGTAGGTCTCTAATATCACTATTAACATGTTTAACGTTTAAAACGGCGGATTCAAATTACAATAAACGCAAAAATAGAATTAAATTACTAGTGGCAATCATATATCTCAGCCTGTCTATTTCTGTAAGACCACCCGGCTACAGGCAATGGTTACTTTCATTTCATTAACCAAAAGAAAACCTAACGCTTATTTCAATGAACCTTATGTCGTAGGCTGGGATTTGCACAATGACACACTAGTACAACGATATGGCTGCTGATCTGTATGTTTCTTTATTCTTCAACCAACTTGAATTCCAACAATCAAATCACCAGTCTCAAGTAAAACATAAGAAACAAAAAAACCCTGCAATAAACAAACAACTCATTGCAGTCATGTAATTTACTTATGCCCCTCTCCCACCTAGGTTGATTTCATCCAGGAGTCGCACGAGTTAAAAACTCGTGAAACTCGTGATCTCCATACGGGCTTACTACGTGTTAGCTACGAATGATGTACGACCTTACGGAGTTGGGTACGAGTTATGTAAGAATTATGCCGAGCGAAACACCGAGTTCACTAGGAGCTTACGAGATTATTATGAGCGTTAGGAGTTGTACCGAATTAGATATTAGGTAAGGGCATTCCAAGCTATTAGAATTGACGTTCTGTTTTGCAAATTCGCATACAACATGGAAGCCAACAGAAATATTTTGGTGTTCCTAGAAGAAGAGCTACTTATAAATGCTGCCATTGCGGCTGTTTTAGTTGCTAGGAGCCAACGTAGGGGAAGGATGAAGAAAAGAAAAAGGCGTTTTTGGACTAGACCCTGGTTAATGCGCAGGTCTTTGCATGGACAATACGAAGCTTTAATGTCGGAAATGGCAATGGAGGACCACACTGGATTTAGGAACTTTCAACGAATTGATCCTGAACTTTTTCAGGAAATGTTGGTTCGTGTTAGTCCAAGGATCCGAAAGCAGGATACCAGAATGAGAAGGGCACTTGATCCGGGATTGCGACTGGCCATCACCCTGCGATACCTTGCCACTGGGGACTCTTACAAGAGTCTGGAATACGGATTCCGTGTGGCAAATAACTCGATATCTAAACTGGTGCCGGAAACATGCGAGGCTATTATCGCTGAGTACGTGGGGGAGTACATGAAGTGCCCAAGTACTCCAGAAGAATGGAAACTGGTTAGCCAGGCCTATTCCAAACGATGGAACTTCGAAAACACAATAGGAGCACTAGATGGTAAACATATCGCCATCAAATGTCCTCGAAATGGCGGTTCCATGTATTACAATTATATATTTAATAAGGCCTATTAGTCAACTATAGAATTATAATAACCCAGTAACACAATGCATTTGAATATTTTAAAACTCTATGACATTTCATTTATTTACCAGTTGTCCTGGGGTGGATGTAGGAGGGAAGGGGTGCAGACGGTACAATCACAGCTTCTATATTGTATTAAGAAAAATAATGGTTGTGTTGTATTGTATTGTTGATATGAATTACCGGTAAGATTTTTAAGGTACAAGAGTGCAATTTCCGGGCACCTTGAGGTCCATATTCTCACAATTTTCACACCCCATGTTGGGGCTGAGGTGGTATGCATTCTCACGCACACCTTACCGTCAAATTTTGCATCTGCCCCAGTTGTCCACATAATGTATGCCTATATTAGGAATATCTCTTCAGTCTATCTATTTAATTTCTTTTAAATTTAACTAATTTGCTTTCGCATTGGAAAGTTATTTTATGCTGTGTTTTCCTTTAGGTTCCGCTGTACTCTTGGCATGTTTGAGCAAGACCCCAAAACAGTAGAGAGCATTGTGTTGGCTTGCTTCTTGCTACATACATGTGTATATATAGATATGTAATCTACTCAGGTCCCGCTACCCTACCGTGGCCAACGACTTAATGGACAGGGAAGACCCGGACACACATGAAGTAATTCCAGATCGGTGGCGGAAGCAAGAAGCACTGACAGCCCTGGAATACTTAAAAGGAAACAATACTACAAAGGCTGCCAAGGGTCAACGTGACTACCTGTGCTCCTATTACAACAACCCTGTTGGCAGAATAATATGATTTAAGGTATGTATGTATTTTGAAGAATAAAACAAATAAATAAAAATAAATATTTTAATTCCACAGTTAAACTATTTGCTTTCTAAATAACCAAGTTCAACATTGAAATAAAACATGCCAATGAAGTATATATTACGAACTTTATTATATGTGATTAAATTTACATTAAAAACGAATAAATGTAAATTCAACAAGATATTTACTCATATTATTAAAATATTTGTTTAAAAACATGGTAAATGTAACATATTTAACAATGTATAATGTAATCAACACCATCTTTTTGTAAATGTTTCTCAATATCCATGTCATACTATAAAAGAACTACCCAAAAATTGTAACTCATGCAATAGGAATGTGGTATAAGCAACAGATATGTATCATTCACAACTTTTTATCATATTTTAATGTTGTAAGTATACAAAAGGTCTTTGATCTAAATGTAGTTGCCAAAATTTACTCTAAATTGGTGTTTGATTTTATTTGCTCGGCTCAAATTTGAAGTGGGGGATATGTCTTCTGTAGACTCGACGTCAATGGGCATAGTGGTCGTATATGAAGCCAAGAATCCACCCGAGCTCGGTGTTTCTATAGATATGTACCTCCCCCTGGGTCGGTAAACTTCCAAACGTAGGAGTTGGCGATAGACAGCAATTTTGGGTGCCGGTCGGGTAACTGCGATAGGAGGATTGCATGTAGGGTTTCTGATGTTCGGCGTCTCCAGACACACTCAACAGAGGCGACATAAACGTGGGAGTGGAGAGTTGGGAGTAGCGATGTGACGGAAAAATCCGGTAACCTTGAGAAGAACTCTGAGTATATAATTCGGACTGGTTAGGTGCTGCATGATGGCCTGTTGATGCAGAGTGTCTGACCACGTACGATTGTACCAGCCTCATGTTGTCTATTGTAAACTGGTACCAGTTTTCACATGGGATAAGTTGTATCTGTGTTTTCATATACCCCATGTACGTCTCATCCTGCTGCTCGTGTGGAGACATTTCTTTGCGGATTTTGGCCAATTCATCGGCACGGGTCAGTAACTGCAATGCAAAACAACAACAACTTTGGTTTAGTTAATTATACACCATGCTATGCTGATATTAAGTTATCAAACAAAGGCATGTGTCCATTCATTTTCCTTCCGAATTGTATGAATAAACAGCAAGAAGTTGCAATTCAATAAAATCAATTTGTCACTAGATAATAATGTATCATGACATAATAACATAAAAAGCAATTTTCACCTTGCCGAGCACCTCAGATTCTTTAGTTTCAGTAGCCTTGCATTTTGGCCTGCTCTTGGTCTTGACCTTTAACCTTGTTCCAGCTTCATCAGAGATCGAATCTGTGCTAACCGTCTCCATGGCATGAGGAGCATCTCCCTGACGATTATCCTCCTCCTCCTCTTTCTCATCATCGTCATCATCACCACTACTGGGTATGGCGATGGAATCTGATGTCTTAATATCTGGGAACTGCAACGTTAGTTATAGATTTTAGCATTCAAAATTTTGGAAATTTAGGGGTTTCAAAGGCTTAATATTTAATCGATTTTAGAGTCTATTAATATGTAGAAAATACATATATTTTTTTTTTCTCCCCGACGAATTGTGCTTTTTCTCCCCGACAGGAGGGAGAGGAAGCTTTCCCTGGCAACCCCCCGCCCCCGCTAGCGCCACCCCTGTTCAAGACAGTGGAGTGCATGTCTCGTTAATTATGAATACTTTTGTTTATTTTCAGGTTTTCATGACACAAGTTCTAAATGGTTTTCGGAAATGATCCCTGTCAAATCAGCTCAGATTGCCAGAGGAGTTCAACTTATTGTAATCGAGACATACAACATTGCATGTGACTAGAATATTTACGGTAGATGCGAACATATCTACATGACAATTACATTTAGTTTAAATAAAACCTAAAGTCCATCCGTTTTTTGCTCTTTGGCTAAAGTATTTATAGACAATACAAAAATATTTTACACTTTGAAATGTTATTCATTTTAAACATGCAAACCCAAATAAAAATTCCAGATTGTTTTTGTATTTTATTTGTTTGTTTTTGTGTGGACACAGAAAAATAATTAGAGATGATTATTTTTACATTAATTTTGTCAAAAATCCATCAGTGAAACGTTTTGCATATACAAGATGAAATTTTTCAAATTATATTTTTATTGACATTAGGGTGTATTCCAGAATAAAACCAGTGGCGTATGTAGATGTCTTGAAATGGTGGTGCTGATGGGGGGTGGGGCGAAGGTGAAGTGGGGGGGGGCTCGATGATCAGTTGAGGGGCGCTGATTCGTCAATGGAGATGTGCACACATATCAGTGTACCGTGGTCACTGTGCATGGGGTTGTCTGAGTTTCCATGCTGGTGCATCTGCGCTTAAACTTTCTTTGTAGCTATGCATTGCGCGATGTGACATAGAATCAACCTTTCAATGGAATTGGGTATCCATTCAATTATCTCAAACTTGTCTTTTTTTTGGTGATAAATGGGGGGGGGGGGGGGGCGTCGGGGGATAGGTTATTGGTAAAACATTGTGACAGTCGGAGGTTAGGAACTCTGGGCCTAATATTAAGTTGTATTTGCATTGGATTAATTTTGTCGAACTACCCATGCACCTGGCCACTGTGACCTAAAAATCAAGTGAAACTACCTGCATAATGGTCTGTCCATCGTCACTATTAAATTTTTTTGGACGAAAAAATGTTCTATGCCCATATATCTGTCTCTTATACACATCTAGATGTGTATAAGAGACAGCTTCATAATAGGGGTTTTGTTTAAGACATAGAAAGAACCTAGCTACCAAGCTGCCATAAAATAGGAGCTTATATAGCTACATATTCACATAATTCCATAACAGACCAGCTGGGAGCCTATTTTTAAACAATGTTACTGTATTTTCCCTTCTTGACAGAAAAAACATAACACAGCAAATCAGTTTGTTTTTTTTATTAAATTTTGTCACTGATGTGTATGCTTTATATTGTTTAATTGTTTGACTTTTTAGTGTAATAATTGTTTGACTGTTTAAAAAAAAAATGGCAAAATATATGAATGAAATTGAAATAATACCTTAGTTGCTGAGTAAACAGTTAACAATGGACATGGTGTTAATCCCGACGCAGAGGAGATATTGATGACGGCTCCTTTCCTCCTATGGAATAAATCAGAAATGATAAAAAGTAGAAAAACATTGTAATGCTTAAAGATCCTTTCAAAACTATGAAATTTTCTTTGACAAAAAAAACTGTTGTATGCCCATATATAGTCATGATGTGCCTATATATGGTCACTTTTATTTGTAACTTTTATTTCAGCCCTCCAGTTGAAACACAAGGAGAGGAAACGATGGAATTGAACCGGGGACCTAGAGACCACCTTTCTTAATTGTACTAATTTGTATAAAATTATATAATAGAAAGTACATCTTTAAAAAAAAAAACCTTCCACCACATATAAAAAAAATGTTGATGCTTGACAACAATCCCCCTTCCTCACAATTTCCCAATGACATTCAACTGAACAAGGAACTGACAGTTGAAACAGAGTAAACAAAACATTTCCAGGAAAACGTTTTGAAAAATCGAACTAAAATATAAGACATATTAAAGTTATACTTTCTTAAATGTACTAATCTGTATTAAACTTGACTCACCTCTGCTGCATTTGTGGAAGACATATTTGCGTCATCTGAAATAATGAAAACATTCTAGATGAATAAAGTATCAATAAAACTTGACGAATTGTCATCTTTAGCACTATACATTACTCCTGTAATACATTACTGAAATTAGATCCCGACTTAATGAAAAAATAGGTCTCTTTTTAAGTAATTTGCTGTAAAATTTTAAAGCAAGTCATCATCACCTTTAATTTCGAACTGATTGAGGTATTTCCCATATCATCTACTACATTTCACATCCTTCAACTTACATGTAACTTGCGCTTGAAAGCAATTTGCTCACTGACGTAAGTGGACATAATGCAGAATTTTACAGAAAGACCCTTTTATACATTAAAATAAGAGGGGGCCCTCATAAAGGACTCAAACCCAGGACCCTGGATTGTAAGACGAGCACCTTAACCACCAAGCCATTAAACTCCACTTCAATCCATGTTCCAAGGGCAATGAATACCTACCATTGCCATCGACAAACAGTTACAATTCAAAATGTCAACAATTGTCTGAGGGAAAATATAAATGAAAAGAATTTTTTAATTACAATGCGTATACAAGTTTTATAATTTCAACAATTGCACTGCAGATAATGTGGTTCCTTGTGATGTTTGTGATGCCCCCTCCCCAATTGCACCCCATTCCCCATTGAAATGTAATTTCTGAAACAAAACGATTAAAGTTTAAAGTAGCTAAAAGTCACATTTTTCTGAAACTAGCACCCATTCACTTAATAATCGAGCCCAGACTCCACCTTCTAACACCCAATCACACCCCACCCCACCATCAAGTTCAAGTTCAATTATTGTCATATAAAAAGTAAATGAAAATTTGTTTTCCAAGGTTTACAATAAAAACACTGACATACTAAAATACAATACAACCATTTTAAAATTCATAGATACGCCAATGGTTAGGATAGGTTATTGGTAAAACATTGTGACAGTCGGAGGTTAGGAACTCTGGGCCTAATATTAAGTTGTATTTGCATTGGATTAATTTTGTCGAACTACCCATGCACCTGGCCACTGTGACCTAAAAATCAAGTGAAACTACCTGCATAATGGTCTGTCCATCGTCACTATTAAATTTTTTTGGACGAAAAAATGTTCTATGCCCATATATAGTCATGATGTGCCTACAGTATATATGTAGGGTTTAGACAACCTCAGCCTCACTGTGGTTGGGGCTGAGGGTTAAACTGAAGGTTATAGCACAACAAAATGGTCAGAAATGGCACATTTACGGTAGGCCTTAAAATTTAAGCACAATTATCTATATTTCTTTCTTATTTATTAATTTTTCAAAATGTTAGGGGGCAGGGGCCCTAGAATCTGTCTGTGCACAATTTTATTGTATATCAATTATTCACATATGTGGATGTTGGTAAAAAAAAAAAATTGGAATATCATTTATTTAGTACCTTTTTAGCATTTTCAATTTCAAGAAAATACTTAGGGAAGTCATAAGCCATGCCAACATTGTTAACTAGAACACCTATCTCCAGGTCGGCCAACTTCTCCTCAATGTCGCTGTAGATCTCGGGTCCAAGGCAGAAATCCACTGCTATCACTCTAGTCTTTACTTTGTATCGACTTTCTACAACAAGGAAAATGAAATGAAAGCATAGACGTTAGCTAAAGCCTTGCCGAGGCATGGGGCTCATAGGCAGCGGTTGGTGGCACCAGAAATTTTCAGACAAGGGGTCCAACAGAGGGCTCCGAGCCAAGTGGGCCAATGAAGCCTCGGTCTACGGCCTGGAATAAAAATGCCATTTTAGGGTTCACGAGGAGAGTTTTTATGGCTTAGTATGGTCCAAAATGAGGTTTTAGACCACAACATTAGGGATTAGCAGTCAAAAAAAAAAAAAATTTTTTTGTCATTATTAATTCAACGTCATAGTGGTGCGTGGGATGACTGGGGTCCAGGCCTGCCCCGGGCTGGTGCCATCACTGCTCATATGGCTGCAGCTTATCCCCAGTTTCAAGTAACGTGAAGCAGATGAGTGTGGGGTGCTCCCCTGGGTGGGATGCTAGTCACCGCTGGTTACTGCCAGCAATTCGCTGGCACTCATTTACAGCTGGGTAGATTGAAGCAATGTGGATATTAAAGTGCCTTGCTCAAGGAGCACAAGCAAAATGCACAGCGAAGGATTGAAACCCTGACCTCGAGGTTGGGAAACCAAACCATTTCCACTCTGCCAAAGCCTTTGAATTGTTGCTTAGAACCAGGCTCTGGATGAAAAAGTTTTTTTGAAATGCTGTACAACTGATTTTTCTCATACACAAAAAGGGCAAAAAACTTGGAATCGGTTTATTGTGATACAGATTTTTTAAATAATTAAAAATAGCGGGGGGGGGGGGGGGCGGGGGGGGGGGACTGTGGAAAAAAGGGTGTTCATTAACTGTTCCTAAGTTTTCGTCACACCCTTTTTGTGTCTTAAAAATATCAGTTGTACAATTTATATTCAAAAATTTTCCTCCAGAGGCTGACTTTAAGCCAATGGTGAATGATAACGTGCAATGGTTGAGGTTTGTTTTTTTTTTTTTTTAGAGGGAAACTGTCAATTTAATATACTGTAATGGTTGTAGTATTATTGTTTAATAGTGTTTTTTTTTTTTTATAATAATGTATCCATTAAACAATCATGCACCTATGAGTCCTTGAAGTTTGTAATTAGCTGTCTTACCAATAGGTAGTAGGAGGGGAAGGGGGGCAGAATTAGTGGTTTTTTTTTCAATAATAATGTATCCATTAAATAATCACGGACCTAAGAGTCCTTGAAGTTTGTAATTAGCCGTCTTACCAATTAGTAGGAGGGGAAGGAGGGCAGAGTTGAGTCGGGTGGGGGAAGACCCCTGGATACATCACTGATTACAGTATTGGGCACCTTATAAAATACCCTCTATTATATTTTTCAAAAATGCTGATTTTGGAGTAAACAATGCAGAAAATAGAAGAATTTGATAATGAAATATATATAAAAACTTTATAAACAAAAGAAAAGTTGGCAGTATAAAATAGTGAATATTAAAACAATAACTTCCAGAATAAAAAAAATCAATGAATTATTAAAATTGGATAATAAAAATATCTAAAATTGGACAGCATATAAAATGGCCATCTACTGTACAACATGCCACGTTTAGAAATGAGTCTTGCGTATTGCTATAAATAAACTCAAGAACGATTAACTATTCAAGCATACTGTGTACTGAAAGATATTATTCGTGCATGGTTTACTGCTATTATTTAATGCAAAAATTATACAGGTGCAACTTTCGTTCGAATATAACAGATTTTCCTGAGGAATTATGACACACCTATTCATTTTTTTGTTTTGTTGTACACTGTATGGGGAAAGCAGCATATTTATTGCAGTGCGCAAGTTATATTCTTATTCTTGCATGCATAAGCCTAAGCCAATTCATATGGAGCTGGTAGGAACTGTGGTTGTATCCCCGAGCATTTGATTTGTTCAAGATTGCTCCAACGGAGTCCAGGTAGTAATAGCCTTGTTGTTTATTGGTTGATCAAGAACATACCGTAAATGCTTGAATAAGTGCAGCAGCAATTTATAACATTTTTGGAGGCTTCAGTGCCGTGCTTATTCGAGAGTGGCGCTTATTCAAGAGCGACGCTTATAAAAAAATATTGGAGTGGTGCTTTCCATGTTACCTATCTCACCTTTTCCCGTAGTTCAGTAGGCCTATCATAGGTCCTACGTCATTATAAATAAATATTTACAAAAGACATGCTTGTGTCTTCATTGTGTTGTTTATTCATCTTAACACTGTATTAAAACCCTGTTCCTCAAAGTGTTTCATTAAAAACTGGGTAATATATACTTGAACATATACTCGAATAAAAGCGCTGCGGTGCTTATTTGGGGGTGGCGCTAAGCTAAAAAAAAATCTGGTTTGGTGCGGCGCTTATTCAAGCATTTACGGTACTGAACTTAATAGAATTTTACAATAACATTGAACAGAAAATACTGCATTGCAGCATTGTTGAAATAAGTAACGTTTAACTTTTAATATTCAGTGGCAAATTCAAAGGAGGCCCAACTGACCATCACCCACCCCAAATAGATGGAAACTTTAAAATAAATTTTAAGTCTGAGATTTTCCAGCCATCTAGGTGCCATAATCACAAATTTTCTTCTGGTATATATCCTTCATTTGTGAAAGTACCTCCCCGGGCCCCCTCTACTTTGAATTCCTGGATCCGACACTGATATTTGCTCCTTATTACATATTTATGGAGCCCTTGGATTGGATTGGATTTATTTGGTGTAAACACCAAGGATAGCTCACGAAAGTCTAGAAAAAGACTTATTTCCAGTGGGGTCCTTCTGGTGGTGATTGGACAGTACACCGGGAGACAACCCCCTACTCTTTTCCGAAGAGTGCACTGCGTTCTTTAACATGTACATGGGCCATAATGTACACGGGACCAACGGCTTAAACATCTTATCCGAAGATGAAGCATTCACATACTCTTGACACAGAACAAGTTCTTGTAATCTTGAAAGCTCTGATGAGGGCAATATAAGAGGTAGTAGAGCTAAAAAGTTCTGTTATTGTTAATCAATCAACAATTAATCAATCAGCTGAGTGTTTCTAGAGCTCCTCATGAGGGCAGTATAATAGAGGCAGTAGATCTGAAAAAAATCTATTAATCAATCAACTATTGTTCAATGAGCCTCATGAGGGCAGTATAATAGAGGCAGTAGATCTAAAAAAATCTATTAATCAAGCAGCCAAGTGTTCCTAGAGCTCCTCATTGCAGCTAAAAACACAATTATCATAACAAAAGGACCATTGCACAAGTCGGTAAATTATTACAGTTCGCTATCCGATTTCAGACCACTTTGGGACATGAAAAGATGGTCTTGGGTTTTTTTTTCTCTAATTAGAATGTTAGATTTGTGTTAAAAGATAGATGAATGTTATTTGATTCATTTAAAAAGTGGTCTCGAAATAAAGGGGTCTCGGAATTAAAGGGTCTCGAATTAGATGGTGCACTGTATTAACATTAACACTATCATAATCGTATTAATGTATTACTGTAGTTACTCTTTAATATTATTATTGCTATTATGAGTATAAATATGAAATATGAGTTATATAAAAACTAACCTATTTCAGATGCTGTTGCTTGCAGTTTTGACAATGTTCTACTTATGAGCACTATGTTTAACCCCAATTTAGCAAGCTGTGGAACAAAAAAATCAGGAGATTAGTATTAGATGGCAATTTTGTTTTCTATCTGAATAGCATTGCAGTACCCTCTGCAACTTGGGGATCAGATTCAACACTAGCCATTAAAAACTAGTGGTCTAGTGGTTAAGACACCAAGCTGGTTATCTGGAGGTTGCGGGTTCGATAGGATAGGATTGTAGTATTTTTGGTGTGAATCACACCACAAATAACCCACTAAGTCCGTAGGCTTGTTTCCAGTGAAGGCCTTCTTGTGGACTGTTGAATTCGGCAGTACGCCAGAAGACAATCCCCTACTCTTTTATGAAGAGTGTACTGCGTCCTTTAACGAACACAGGACCAACAGCTTAAATGTCTTATCTGGCAGACGGTTCGCTGGCTATCTTAACTTGCATATCAGTCCTCAAGCTGAAATAAAAGGGGATCAGCGACGGGATTTGAACCAGGGATTAAGAGATTTCCTTGGTTTAGCGCACAAACAATGGCTAGCACCAGTCTAGCCGACTGACCTATAGTAAGCTGTTCTGATTCTCACCCAAAAACATTTTCAAGATTTTTTTCACAAGTATGTGGGAATGTGAGATGTCTGCGTACTTTCAATCGTGAAAGCACCCCTCTTCCTGACTCAGTCGATGAGCTTAATTTAAATAGTTGGTGACGCAATCATCAGGACAGCTTTGTCTTTCTGATGGACACTTGTCTTTCCATGAAAGGCGGCTAACATTAATAATAAAATAATTAATACTGAGCATTCTTCAGTACCAAAACATGACAGGTAGGGCAGTAGGGCACAAACATCATTTCTATTTAAAAAGAACTCAAAGCAGCATTTTTTTTTAGATAATAATATGAGTACAATAATTTAAATTATTTTTTTTAATGTTTCGTCATTAAAGCAGTCATTTTATCATTGTATGGAAATTGCAACTATCAGGACACATACTATACCATTTCCAATACAGTACTCCAATACAACTAGTTGCGCATCAAGGAATTCGAAATAGAGGGCGCCCAGAAAATCAATTTTGCAGACAGAGGGTCATACTACAGTACTGAAATTGGCAGAAATGGCACTCTCACAAAAAAATTTGTTAATTTAATTTTGTTTTTCTCCCATTTTTCTTCTTGTAAATTTTGAAAAATTTAAGAGTGCGATTGCAGCTTAATCCAACACCCATTATTTTCTACCTACAGTATCAAAATATTAAACTAGATTTGAACTCGTCACTGAGGACGAGTTAGGTGATCCGCCGCACTTTGTCCCTCATTAAGATCACGCGGTGCTGATTGAAAAGTGTCATAATATGCTAAAATATGCTGTAATTAGTTTTGTTAAAAAAGAATAATTTTGAGCATTTTAAAAGATTTCCGCATGTGTACACGTACGTCTTGACGCCCGTGAGCACGGTAAGAGCACAAAGAGTGACTCCTGATATGAATAA